AAGAAGAGAGACTCCTGTTACAAGGGAATCCTGAGTGTGATTCCCTGACTCCCCTCATTCCTACACATGCATCAAAGATCTCAGCTAGGAGTTGGAAACTTATGATTGCTCAAATGCAGGAAAGTATTTTCTAGCTTTTAGAAAGGCAGTTTAATCATGAATATGCATAATCACAGAGATGACTCTAATGTATATATACTCTTATTTTAGAATCAACAACTTCAAAGTTCTACATAAATATTCTTCTGCCAAAATCAAATGAAAAGAAACAAGAGTTACTTGCTTGGCAGTAACTCCTTTTCCTGCCCAACTAAGCTTGAACAACGGTATAAAGGAGTCATGAAATGGTCAGAAGTTGTGGGGAGCAAGGGAAAGGAGGAAAAGCAAATGACATATAATCTTGGGACAACATGGCTTGGAATGACTGACCTTGAGATGGCTAGTAGATTTGTATATAGTTTCAGAGACACAGCGGTAGATAAACATCAGAAATAATAGGTATTCTTAATTTCCAGCAGTAAGTAAGCCAAAGGAGTAGACTTTTCTGGCTACCCTTTAAGAAACTGCTCCATAGTCTGATAAGCAGTTTTGCCAGGACATTTGTGTTTTGAAATTTCTCAGAAAGACTTCGAAGACCTATTTCTCTGGTTATTTCTTAAAACTTACTTAATATACAGTGCTAGGTCTGTAGCTAAAATAGCTTGCTTGATTATTTTCAATGTGGTCTTATATTCTTCAATGGAGAGGCCACTGAGAATCTGATTGCCCTTTATAAAAAAAGAAAACCAACATTAGCACCCTGGAGAAGCTGCGGACAAGAACAAAATCTGCAAACACATTCACATATCTTAAACACATGCCCAGTATTCTAAACTCATGAATGTGGAGGGCATACTTAAATACCATGAAATAATGTTTCCCCTCTATGTTCCCACCCCACCCCTCTGTCATACATGTAAACTGCTTCATGATGCTTCATCTGCCTACATACGCATGTTTTTCCCACTTTTATACTCCTTAAGCCTTAGTCCAGACTTAAAATCTAAAGCTATTCTTTTCCATAGGGCAGACTAATTGCTATAATTTAAGAGCAAGTAAAACTTTGAAAAACATCAAAGCCATATTAATGGATATGAAGAATGAAGTGGTAAAATTTTTAAACAATGGATTATGAAAAAAGTCACTTCTCTATGGCATTTTAAATAAATCCAATAATATTTCTGGTGCAAATTTATATAATTTTAACTTGGTCAGTTATGGTAACAGTGCATATTCCTTAGGAACATCTTAATATAGATGGGTAAAGGGCATGAGCCAAAGGGTGCTTACTGGTCAGTGGAGAAAGAAAGCGTGGGTTGAAACATCTATAAGGAATATTTAAAAGGTAGCTAACCCATGTGCAAATCATTCAAAGTTTTCACTCTGTAACCATTTTTTATTTCTTGTCTGTAATTGAAAGCATAGTGGTTCTCTAATCTTGAACTAAGTAAAATACATAGACCGGGCACTCATAATACAATCAAAACAACATCTCTAAGTTGAGTCAGATATGCTTCCTATATCTTAGGGCCAAGAAAAAAACCCAGATGCTTAGGAAAGAGATCTGAAGGCAGAGGATTTGTTATGAAGACAGGGGATCTTCTGGGTATGTTAGGCTGAGGCCAAAACACATTGGTTAGAGGATAACTAGATGCTGAAACTGGATCTAATTAATGACAATAATCTATAATTACAACCATAAACATTATTTTAAATACTAAATCATTTTAGATTCTAGACTAAACAGAAAATTATTCAGAAAATACCTTCTAATACTTATTTTAAGATAAAACAATTTCAAGTGGAAGATGAAATGTCTTTTGGTGCTATATTTTTACTTTTTACTCCCAAAGGCTGAGGATATAATTTCTTGTGTAATTTTGCTTACAAAGATAGAATATATAGATAGGTCTTATAATTTGAGCCAGCCATATAGATAACCAGATTCCTTATATATTAAGCAACAACATATTACATAATAAGTTACATAGTAACAGGTCAGTTGATAGGAATACTGTAAAATATGCTTTTAAAAAAGTTAGCATATTTTCTTTCTTTGGAGCTAAATTTGTAATGGGATATTGAAATGAAAGTTTTAGTGGAAACACACAGATAGCAAAAGTACAGATATTCCTACTACAACATGACATATACATTCCTGAGAAATTTCAGTTCTGAAAAACTGTACACTAAAAATAACATGGATTGTGCAAAAAAATGGTATTGGGAAAGACCACTCAAAACCTATGCAACTTTGTAACCAGAGCACAAACCAAACCAAGAATTGGTTCCTCTGGAAGTAACTTGGATGGGCCAGTCTGGCTGGTCTGGAGGCTGTCTCTGAGGACATTAAAGATGGACAAAAACAATCAAGTAGAAATGCTGGTTTGTGGGGGCCCTGCGATCATGCATATAGAATTGATCATTGAGACAGTAAGTCTGCTATTAAGGTGGGCATTGAAAGAAGAGCAAGCTCTCGAGAGGCTACAGCAGTCCAAAGCGAGGGAGAGAGCCTCAGGTGCAAGTGCTCATTTTTAATATTCCTAAGAAAGAACGGAAAGGGCTGCATATGCAGGAGCCAAGGGGAGGGCTTTTTTCTTTCTTGCCGAAGGTCAGAATTCAACTTCTATAATTCTGGCACCTCTTACCCCAGGGAGGTTATGTATGAAATGATAGAATGTCTATGGTATACTGATACCATCCTTCTACCTCCCAATCACACATGATATAATTCATACTAAACAATCACATGTGGTAGAAAAACAATCTGTACTAGACCATATACAGACTTTATAAGGAGGGTGCCAAAACAGGCTACATAACTTTTAACTCTTCCCCCACACTGAGGTGTTGAGGGAGGCATGAGAGTGAGTTCCCCTTTACCTCAGGTAAGAGAGAGGGGCGTGGAGTTCCTGTGTATGTCTCCTCTCATTTAGTGGGTGGAGGTGGGGCTAGAGTAGACTTGTGTCTGACTCTTGTCTTAAAAGGTGCAAGACACTCATCTCAGCACCAGTCTGTTAAGAATGTTTTAACATTTCTCACCTATTCTCCCTTCCCATTCTCCAAGTATGAAGGGGTAAGAAACTACATGGAGGTTGGGGAGAGAGGAAGGAGTCAGAAGAAACACAAGGTAGGGAATGGGAGAAGCCTACCAGTGCAGTAACAGAAAACGTGAAATGTTAAATCAGGTTCAAAATTTGGACTGCTACCCAGGAGTACACATTTTGGTTTCTGAGTTGAGAACTCTATACTATATATTGGGACCTAAAGTAACTAGAGGGTTTTTACTTACAAAATCGTGACCAGAAAAGTGATGGGAATCCCTGAATTTTTTTCCAGGGCTCAGGAAAGAACTAGCCCCACTGAGTAAACTTAGTGATATTGGGGTAAAACTGTTTTAAGATTATATGTCATGCATTGTGTATGTTCAATGTAATAGTTAAAACTTTCATTTTTTCATATTATTAAGGTAATACCTACACACAGCAGATAATGTAAATAATGAACAATCACCCCCCCCAAAAAAAAATGAACAATTTCATTACACCAGCACAGCCATTGTTAATATCCTGGTGCATATTAAATTAATCTTGTTTTCCTTAACATAAGTATGTTTAGCATACCATAGCATATGCTTTCTTATGTTGATAAATATTCATTTCACCAAGTAGTTAAGTAGCTTTATTCTTTAATAAAATTGTTTCTTAGTAACTGGAAGTTTCAGTAAAAAGAAGAAAAGGTATTGCTTTGTGAAAACAAATGCTTGAGCTATAGAAACCACTTCATTTCAAAAAAAGCAGAATTAACTGAGAGCCACAAAATACACATTTTTGTTTGTTTCTAATTTGGAATAGCCACATAGAGTAGAATAACCAAATTTCCCTTATCAGGCAACATGTAGACAGTTCTGGTTGTCTAGAGAAGTGAGGCTGTGAGGATCTCAAATGTTTTGGCTTTGCCTTCCTTACCCAAAAAGGAATAAAGTATGTGCAAGAATTTATGATGCTGGGAATAAATCCAAGAACTAAAAATAAAACTGAATTTATAAAGCTCTCTTCTAAAATTCCACAACAATAAATTAGGTACTTACTGGACTATTAAGAATCATCAGGCACTGGTCAAAATGATGGTGCTCCATGATTGAATGGCAGTAGAGCTGGGCAAGTGGATGTTCACTTCTGAAAATATTTTGTTGAAGAAAGGAAAAAAGATCAGTTTCCTTAATGTGCCAGTTTATCAGTACATTTTTATTACTGTTTAACTAAAAGAGAGACTACTTCACAAAATTAATCAATAATTTTCCCTCCTTTTCTGAGAAAAGAGTGAGGTAATCTCTGGGAAACAAATACCAAGAGTCAAATTGTTTTCAAATATCAATGGAACCATCGCCAGTGCAAAGTATGAACAATTTCATTGGTCTTAATACTGATTAAAATAGAAGTAAGGAGTAAGGACCAAAAAATTAATACCTCCAAACATGGAAAAAAAAAAACCCACTGAAATAGTTGTACCAATTATATTTTTCAATTTCAAAACTGCAATTGATATAAAATCTGAAACAAATTCACATTAGCTTTTCCTCTGAAATAATGCTCAGGTTGAAGGTCAGCTTATTCATGTGTGCCTGCAAATAAGAAAAGGACTGACTGAGATGGAATTAACTGAGGTATGACTGATGAAAGGCAAGAAAAAGAAGGATACTCAGGGCACATGCTCCCTTGGAAGGAAGGAAGGAGACGGCTGAGTTGGAAAGTTCCCCATGTGGGATCCAGGTCATTTTAGTGCAGAATATCCTGCTAGTTCTGCTAATTGAACTTGGTGAAGCAGTAGAGACCCTTTGGCTGAATGAAGAGAAAGGAAATGACATTATACTCAGTTCATTATATGAACTGAGACAGTCACAAATAAAGCTTTAAAGCACGACAAGCACAATCCTCCACCTCATGTTTCTCAGGACCCTTCACATTTGAATATTAAGCATAGGTTTCACTATTTCTTCATAAGAAAAAGACGAAATTTCTGAAAACCTCTGTTCATAAAATTTATAGGAAAGGGCTTTGTGAATTGTAAAGCTCCACATACAAGTGGTGGATAATACAACTAATTTGTTATTTCTCCCTATTACTATCTGAATGGTTATTTTACTTTGCATTTAATTTGTTGAAGATAGAGAAGCTACCTAAGACTGAAGAAATGTAATGTGGGGGAAAAATGGGTAAAGTGAGAGAGACCTGAGGGAAAACGAAAATAGTAAAGTGAAAATAAAAGTAAGAGGACAGATAATCCCATCTATTCTTATTGTTTAAAGTGTTGTCTATATTGCTAATTTATCAATGTTACTGTTGTCCTAACCTTTCTCAAATTAATTCTTGCCCTTCTTGTCTTCTTTGCTCCTTCCATATTTAGTGAGTTGGACTATGGATCAGGTACTGTGCTTAGCATTGGAAAATGGGATGACAATGAACAGAGTAACATGAGTAGATTTCTGAAAAAGGATGAACATACTGGAAACAGATATTGTGTATGTATCAAGACTACTGGGAGTTAGGAGACTACTGGGAAACTTCTAGGAATCTAAGTAAGAGAGAGCCTGGATTAGAGTGGCAGCAACCCAAAGGAAGAGAAGCAGATAGGAACTGGTAATGACTTCTGACTAGGAGTGGGATGAGGGAGATGAGGGGATGAGGGGGAAAAGGGAAAAAGTATGAATGTTAAAGTCTCTGCCTTGGGATGCTGACCTCATTTACTGACATAGGAAAAGGGAGAAGATGATCAAAGATGGGGGATGAAGCAGGGGAAGCTGACTAGCTGAATGTTGGATCTGTTCATTTTAAGGTGCCTGAAATAGACCCAAAAGGATATAAATGTCTGAACTTAGTCTGGGCTGGTGATATAGATTTGGAATGCACCAACATGCAGATGGTAATCCTGGCATGCGAGTAGATGAGATCATCCAGGGAGATGGCCTATAATGAGAGCCTGTAACATGTCAGGTAGTGTGCTTTAGTTTTTTTTAGTTTATTATATTTAATTTTTACAATAACTCTGGGCAGGGCATTCCCATTTACCACATCAAAACCCTCAATCCCACCTCTTACTCATCCCCTGATGTAGTGTCCAGTTTCATGCACGCTTTAACAGACTTCATGCAAGTACCAATTAGAATGCCCCAGCCTACCTTTAATACCTCTCACTTCTGCCTTACAGCTTTCTGACCCCACAGCTGGTGCCCAAAGGAATTTTCTCTGCACTCATATTTGTTCAACTTGAAAGTGTGAAAGAGTGAAGGCCTGCGGACCACCTTGGACCAGTGGGGTACACAGACCTAGGTACAACTGCCTTTGTCTTGCCAGTCAACAGTTCTGGGTCTTATTTCATAAGACTACTCCAAAGTGCCTGGGAAGACTAAGACCCAGTATGGGTGGACATCTGGATAACTCATCCCCTCTACTGCCCTTCCTTTCTTCCCTGCTTCCTTCCCAGTCCCGCATTCCTGCTCCCTGGGGTCATATTCACAAATAAGCTATATGCACACTGACTTTCATCTCAGGTTGTGCCTCAAGGGTAACCTCGGCTGAGACCTCTCTCAAGTTGCCATCTTTTTGCTTTCTAGACAATCAAAGGCTCAGTGAAAAATAATGTGCTCAAGGTTGATATAAATGGTAGAGCTGGCATTCAAGTACATCCTCTTCAACACATCACATGGTCTTAGGATACCAAAGTACTTTAAAGGCACATAGTATCCACTCATTGACCTACTTAGGAGCTGGACTACGAAATGCTATTAGGTGGATATAACACAAACAAGTTAGAACTTCAAACACACATTACATTTTTAGATGACACAGAAGGGACTGTTTCACATTAGAGAAAATTCTTGGCTTGTGAGATAGATGAATGCAAACTGTGTTTGTCTTTACTTAGATTCTAAAAACACAGATTTATGAATCAATAACAGAGTGACAAATGCCCCGAATTTCCTGTATATAAAAACATTCATGGAAATCAGTGTATTCTATATCTGTTGCATTTTCCTCTTTCAAACACAAGGCTATGTGGCTTCTTTAAGGTTGCAACAGAAGGACCCATTTAAACCACTACTGCTACAGAATTTTGTTCCCACGCTGCTGTCAGTGAGCCCTAATGGACCAGCACACTCACTTTGCATTTTCCTCTGTCCTGCACAGTTGTTGGTCTATCTCTGACAGTAGTATTAAGATGCCCAATGCAGAAATCAGACCAATATTTTAGAAATAGGAAGCCTTAGAAATCTACAGAAAAGGAAAGCCCAATGGGGGTGGGGAACTATATTGCCACCCCAGTCTGCCTATGTCACAAAGGACTAACAACGTCCTTGGTTCTGCTTCTCAGCCGTATATATTACTCTGGGCTCAATTCTCTAACAATCTCTTTGTAACCTTCAATCCCATTTAGTTCTTTACTTCATCATTTCTCTTCAAATCATCACGATTGCCTTCTTCTCCCAATCAATAATCATATTCAATGACATAGATATTCATAATGATGATTCATTTCACGTTTTGACCTCAGAGTTCTCTGACCTCCTTGACACTACTGATTATCTCTTTGCACATAACGATGGACAGGGCTCTGCTTCTTTGTTCCACAGCTACTAGGTTCTACTGGGCACAGTATTTTTGCCACTTCCTTTATTGACCACAGGACAAAGCAAGATCTTAAACTCCTATCTGTTGCTAAGAACATTCCCCTATGAAAATAGCTAAGACCTGTAGAGCATTTAACATGTGCCAGGAAATATTCTAAGCACTTTACATCTATTTATACCCCTTTAATCCTGATGAAAATCCCAGAAGATAGGTATTTTCATTATTCTATTACACATAGAATAGACATAGAGAAGTTTAATGACTTGCACAAGGTCACAAAGTAAGAGGAGAAGCCAAGATTTGAAGCCGAGCATCTGGCTCAAGTTGGCTCTTAACTACCATAACCATCACAGCCACTGCTTGGTGGTATAAGGACTAAATAAACTAATAAATAAAGAGTGCAAAAATGTTTCAAATGCCATAAGGCCTATATAAAGTTTTAGCTTCTATTATTAGTATTTACTACTGACATAGGTCTAATTGAATGGAACTTTCACTTTATTCATAGATCTCCAGGCTCTCAAGATCTCCAACCTGACCAGGGATCATCTCATTCATGGATAAAATGGACTTCACCCAGCTTGAACTTCACACATGATTTTGTGCTGGTGTAGTGCCCTCAGATCCTGCTGACCTCTACTCCCACTGCCAGACCATGACTTCAGCTCACTTCTGTCCTCTATTAGAGCAGAGAAGACAGTCATGGCATAGAACAAGTTCTCCTAGGACAAATATACACAAATCTCCTTGTGGCCAGCAGGAGACCTTTTCCCCCTGATTTTACTGCATCTCTAACCTTGAAAAAAACACATCTGTTTGATCATTTTACTACTTCTAACTACCACCCTATTTATTATCTTCTACTCGACTTATTGCCAAAACTCCCCTAACCTCCATTCTTGTCATCCCTCTCTCTCAGTGCACACATATACATTTTCCCAGCTCTTTCATTTTCATCAATGGCACCATCACTGTTCCAATTTCTTGGACCAGAAGTCGTATCTCCTTCCCTCATGCTTATATATAACTAGCTGCTTATTATTAAATTCAAAAACTTTCTTTTTCTCCTTCATCCTCTTCCTCTCTCTAGCCCATATGTGATTTTTCAGTTTATATCTGACTTGCTGTAACAGCCTTCTAGTTGAGCTCTGTGGTTCTAATTTCTACCCATTCCCCTTGTAGCTTACATTCAGACTTCTTTCCTAAAACCGTGTGCTTATTACACACTGTAGTGGCTCCTTTTTCCCACCCATATCAAATCTATAATGCACTGCTTAGTTTTATAACCCTGCCTCAGAAAGTTTCCATTTGTTCATTCTCTTCTTTTTCATTCCTAATCAATGTGAACCTTCTAACTCTAGTCAAGCTAGCCATCACCACTGTTCCAAGAAAGTGCTTACCTCATGGTGCTCCTGAAATATATTTATCCTTTCTCCTTCCTAAATCCTACCCATATTTTAAGACCAAGTTTAAGTCTCATTTCCGGCATTAACAATGGAGTTGTACTACATCTGACTGGACCAGTCTTCTCTGCTGAACACTTACAGTCCTGCTCTACATAACTCAGGACTAGAAACGTTCTTGTAGTGATCACTATTACTTCGTGAGACTATGACAATTCCTTAATGGCAAGAATCACATTTTATACTTCTATCACTCTCTTTCCGCCTTGCAAAGGGCAAACGCCCTAATATAATAATTATTCATTATCTATCTGCCTAGAATATAACATAATTTCACTGCATTATTTTATCAACACCAAACTTGAATCTAATTAAATAAATGCATCTATAACAGTTTTCTTATATTGAATGCAGGCCTAATGCAGGTAATTTCTCTACATAACCCAAATGCTACAATTGTGTTTTCTCTAGTGGTTGTCTGCACTTCAGCCATTTTGTTCCTATTACTGCCTATTTTTAAAATAAGAATTCAGTATCTATCTGAGATCATTCTTTTTCTTTTTTTTTTTTTTTTTTTTTTTGAGATGGAGTCTCGCTCTGTTGCCCAGGCTGGAGTCAGTGGTGAGATCACAGCTCACTGCAACCTCTGCCTCCTGGGTTCAAGCAATTCTCCTGCCTCAGCCTTCTGAGTAGCTGGGATTACAGGAACCCACCACCATGTCTGGCTAATTTTTTTGTATTTTTAGTAGAGATGGGGTTTCACCATACTGGCTAGGCTGGTCTCGAACTCCTCACCTCGTGATCTGCCTGCCTTGGCCTCCCAAAGTGCTGGGATTACGAGTGTGATCTCATTCTTTTCTTGCTTCACCCAGGTGGGTGCCTGGCCCTCATTCTTTTCTTGCTTCACCCAAGTGGGTGAAGTAAGCATGAGCAGTGAACTCTTCCCTCACATATGCCACTGGCGTACCTGTAGAACTCCTCTACAATGGTAGTTTCCTAATCAAAGAAGCCTTCAAATAATCAAATGACGACTCAAGGGGCAACTTTCTATTGAAGAAATATCTTCTTTCAAGGTAATTTCAGGGTAATTTTCTGAAAAGATGTTCAAGAATGAATAAGGACAACCTCAGTTTCAAACTTTGCTACCACATGACCATTTTTTCTTTTTTTGATAAGTTACTTTCATCTCTGTGCATTGTTTTATTGTTTTGATTTTCTCTAAATATTAGTTTGAATATCTGATGAGGGCTGGACACAGTATACGTTTTTAGAAGATAGTACTTTACATGGGAATATTTATGGTACTCATACTCTCCTGAGTCCCCTGCCTAAGAAAATTCTACTTTAAGTATCACTCATTTACCAGCAAGGAAAGAAAAAAAGAGAAATCCCTGGAAAATTCTTGGTTTCCTCTACTGAAACCACAGGGATGTAGGAAGAAATAAAAATCTTTGAAACTGCTTTAACTTTTTTTTTTTTTTTAAGTTGAAGTCTGCTTTGTAGTGTGTGTGTGAAAGCAAGATTCTGCAGTCGATGAGTCTTTCCCAGGATGTTTTCTTTTTCTTTCTCTTTTTTTTTTTTTTTTTTTGGAGAAGATGACGTTTCTCCAGATGTTTTTGGGGTAATTATTTTTAAATAAACAAAGGAAAAAATAGTTGAGTGTTTTTTTTCACTCTAAAGCAGGGCAATATAGTATCTTAGAGCGATCCATACACTAATAATCCACATACTAATAATATTATGTTCAGTGTAGCACATGCTGATTCTGATCTTTAGGCTGTGCTGACTGTGGAGGCGCATACTATGTGGCTTGACTCTGCACTATCCATCTTTTCATGGCAGTGTCCCCTTTCATAATTATTCTGTGTCTATGTGAGGCTCAGGATTGCAATCACATGACAAAAGCGCAGGGGACAAAGGACATGTCACTCAGTCAGTTCTTCACAACATGAGATTTTTCAAGAGGAAACAGCCAGACTCTGATACTCAGGCAAGACCTTGCTATCTTTTCCCATCAAAGGTCAGCAGAGGACATGGTTGTTACATCACTACAATTCTTTCTACATGAAGTTTTCCATTTATTTAGATAAGGAGAATGTGATTAGAGAGCTTTCTGAAATTCCCTCTAGATATCAGACATCTGGAATTTCCTTGAGAGATCTGTCCATTAGTTGAATCACTTGTGTACTTAAAAAATGCTCAGTAGTAAGAGATCTTGCACTTAAAATGTAGACCTTTCAACTAAATTCCTACAAGAAAATAAAAATATCACAGTGGCTCAAACATTTGATGAAAAGTGATGTCACCTTTATCCTCTCATTTGTCATCTCAAATGTCACTTAAGTATGGCTCTTAAAGGAGCCTGAAATGCTTGTCCTAACAGATAGTATCTCACTCTCAAACTCAGCCAATGAGCAGTCATCTGATGATGGTACATCTCTAGCATCTGCTTCTAATATTTAAGACTTAAATAGGCATCAAGTATTCTGCTTGCTATTGATGTGTATTATCTTTTACAACTATTATTTCCATTTCATGTATCAGGACATTATGGTATAGAGAAATTAGACAGAGGCCCAGTTCTCCAACACTGTGCTATATAGCTTCCACTAAGACCACAAGCCTCCTTCTCCTGAGCACTTAATAAGTATGCAGGGCTGAGCTAAGCACTTCTCAAATATTATCTTTTCTACTGCAGGGTGAAATGTTACCTTTTTTGAACTAGTTTTAGTAGTTTTCTAAGGGAGCTGTTAAGCTGGATGTACATAAACTAAAGTAAAACTCTTGGTAATTATCTAATGAAATAAGATTCTCAACATAAATATGTTTGAACTTCAGGGCTGAAAAATTATAAACATAATACTGAACCTGCATTATTTTTTCCATTTCCTTTAAATATAACCAGAGTATGTTATGGGACCTTGACCAATTGCAATTTTGTACCATCAAATTTTGCTGTGGCTTTAACTTAGAAACATACAGTCCTATAATTAAAAGAAAACATTTTCTTGCTTTACTGGGAAAGTCTTACCGCTGTATGTAAGAGTTATTCACACCACGGTGATCTAAATCGTGGCTTAGTGCAGCAATCAGCAATGCAAGTATCTCCAGGTCAGTCAGCTTGTTCTGCATGATCAAAGACATTGGAGGAAAGAACAAATAAAATGTGGTGAAGAACATTATATTACCTCTTTTCAGTAATCTTTTTTTCCCCTCAGTGCTTTACATACATACTTCTCTATAGTCACAAAGGACTAACCCTAGAATCCTATTCTTCAGGGAATCAGTTGTCCTTTGTCATTCACAATGGGATCACCACAAATGTCACTTATGAACAGGAAAAGCTGAAATGCCTCAATAAACTAATAATCTGTCTACCTATAGTAAGTATTGCTAATTCTTAATTATTATGTGAAATAATCATAATAAACTTTAAATAATTGTTTTATTCTCTTTTAATTCCCTACAGATTCTGTTCACTCTCTGCTATCAGTTGCTGTGTCCTTAAGGAATGCAGACAATGTTAATTCAAGCAAAACAATAGAAAGAAAATGATTTGAAATGAAAACTTGGCTTCAAAAAGTTACATAATATACTCCCAAGCTAAATATAGGTTAATTTTTAGTATCTGCCATGAGTATTGTCATTAATACTGTTCCCCTTCATTAGCAAAAAAGACACAACTTAAAATTATCATCAGCTGTATTTTCCTAGAACTCTCAGTACTCTAAATAGGTTTTACAACAAACACAAAAATCATCATTTTGTTATTCCTCACAGAGAACAAGGATAGTTTTCAGTGTCGATAATCCTTATGACCTTCCCATACCCCAAAATAAGTTTACACAATTTCTTACACTGGTTGAGTATCCCTAATCTGAAATCCAAAATGCTTCCAAATCTGAAGGTCTTGGAGCACCAATGAGTCTCAAAGGAAATACTCATTGGAATATTTTGGATTTTCAGATTAGGTACGTTCACCCAGTAAGTATAATGCAAATATTCCAAAGTTTAAAAAAAATCTGAAATCTAAAACACTTCTTGTCCCATTTCAGATAAGGGATACTCAACCTACACGTGTTTGCTAAGGTAGGAAAATCATACTAGTGTATTTAATTTCACCTCACTTCTTTAACAACAATCACTTCTTTTAGATTTAGCCTGTTAAAATGTGCACCCTATGAAAGTAGACACAGAGAATAACATTTTAAGAATTTATTTACAAAAAGAAAAAGGCAGGGAAGCTCTGAATTAAAAACAGTTATATGATGGATGCCTGGAATCACTTACCTGGAATAACTAGTCGATTCCCACTGAAGTTAGAATCTAAGGACAGAGATATGGATAAAATTTGGCCTGGAAAGGAACGAATTACTTGAACGTTTTCTGCATTGATCTTCCTTTTAAACAGTCTCTGGTCAATGTATATGAAACCAAAACCCTTTCTATGAAACAGTACTTAAAAAATTTACTGAGTGCTCCAGAGAAAATGCAGTAGAGACCCCTAACTTAAGCAAGTTCAGGACTTGGGTGGTTTTTGAGGAATTCTACTATGGAGCAGGTTGAATGTGAACAAGAGAAATGTGATACTTTTTCTTACTTTTTCTTAATAAGGTAGTGTTTTCCTCAGAAGGAAATATTTATTTGCCCAAAGACTATGTATGTGCAACATGAAGTTATTTTAAAGGTTTTCTAATATGCCATATATATTATATATGGAAGAAAATTAGCAACTAAGTAGTTTTGCCAGATTAGTCCTCTTTAATTAACAAAATATAACTTATTATGTAAGTTGCAGCAAATATTATTTTAAATAATTATCTGTGCACTTTAAAGTGAACTTGAAAGAATATGCTGTAAATTTTACTACTAAGCAACAAAATATATTAGATATATGAATGGCTCTAAAAAGTACCTGAATTTTGCCTGCTTTTAGAGCAGCAAACATGCATTGAGCTGTATTAAAGGCATGTCTCCAATTATGATAGGCAACATTCTTCCGATAATTCTTCTTAACACTTAAAATCCATCTGCAAAGAACCTTTAGGGAATAAAACATAAGTAGTAACAATAATTGCCAACATCTTCACACATTTACTATGTTACAGGCACTGTACAAAGCCTTCACAGTTAGCCTGATACTCCGATTTGGATCATCTTACAGACAAGAAAACTGATACTCAGAGAGGTAACTTGCTGAAGGATACATTGTTCGTTAGGGATGGAGCCAAAATTCAAACTTGAGCAGTTTGACTTCACAGCCTACCATGTTAACCACCATGCTAATTAAATTGATACAAAACACAAGACATCCCTAAGAAAGGTATTTTTGGCAGGATAGGGCACTGACTAGGTGATATATATATATATATAGTCCATGTGTCCATGTGCCATGTCCATGTGTCATCAACTAGGAGAGTCCAAAGAGTCACATAGGTATGAATTCATCATCAGACAGCGATAAAAGCAGCCACTCTCAAGTTCTTCCCATGCTCTCATGTTGTATATCTGTGAAGGTATTTAGTGCAAGGCCCTGGGGGTGGACTAGTAACAAGGTATATA